TGTGCAGGAAGGAGGCCAGCTGGCTGCCTGGGGCTGGGGCAGGGCCTCGTGGAGGAGCCCGTTCGGGCAGAAGGGGACCCGAGATGTTCGCATGGTTGAGGGGTCAGGAACGACAGCAGGTGTGGCATATTGTTGAGGTTAAACTTTGAAATAAAAATTCTGTGGCGGTGGCGGCGCTCGCCTAGCTCTGGCCCATTTGGCTCAGCAGTGAGAGGGTCAGCACGTGGACCAGGGAGTCACGGGTGCTATTCTGGCCAAGGGCACGTGGACCGGGGAGTCATGGGTGCTATTCTGGTCAAGGGCACGTGGACCAGGGAGTCATGGGTGCTATTCTGGCCAAGGGCACGTGGACCAGGGAGTCATGGGTGCTATTCTGGCCAAGGGCATGTACTTCTGTTCCGGTTTGTCCCCTGCCCTGGTCGGGGTCGTGTAGAGGCAACCGGCTGATGTGTCCCTCTCTCTCACATTGATATGTCTTTCTCCCTCCCTCCCTCCCTCCCTCCCTCCTCTATCTGGAGATAAATGGAAAAATGTCCTCCGGTGAGGATTAAAAAAAAAAAAAATGCTGCCAGTCATCAAAGCACAGTTAACCCTTGAACTACATGGTTTGAACTGTGTGGGACCACTTATACGTGGATTTTTAAAAATAAACGTACAGGTGGCCTTCTATATCCCTGGGTTTTGCATCTTCGGATTCAACCCACTTCTGATGGGAAACAGTATCTCTGGTCTGTGGTTGGGAATCCGCCGATGGAGAAGGCCGACTGTAGGTATTGTCCTCCCCACTTTATAGCAGGGACATGGCCATCGGCAGATGTGGCATCCAGGGGGCCTGGCACCAGTGCCCCGCAGCACCGAGGGACCACTGTGGGCACCTCGTTTCCACCGACTGCCCTAGGGCTCATCAGTGTACCCAACTTGATCTTCCTTTGCTAGCTGATGAGATAGACCGTTTCTTCCCTCCCATCTGCCGGGAAACCGCGGCTGTGTCGTCGGGAAGAAAGGCTGCGGTGCACCTGCGACGCTCCCGTTCCGACTGAGCTCAGTGAGCCTGCTTTCGGGGTCTAGCCTTCAGCCCCAGTTGGCCTCCTTGAGGAATGGGCTCCAGGCCCCAGGGACCGCCTCTCGCGTCTGCACTCGGAGCTGGGAGCTGGAGGGGCGTCCTGGGGAAAACGCAGGGGAGCCCCTCTCTGGTCTTCGGAGGAGAGGGGAGGAGACAGGAGCAATGCATCAGAAAGGCAGAGGACCCAGAGGGCAGGAGTCTTGCGGCGCGGAATTGCTAATTGCGCTTTAATAACAGTCAGGAGGGCAGGGAAGGCCAGTGTTCACAGGGAGCTGCGCCGCTCGCGTCGGGCCGCGCTCTGCTGGGCCTCGCCGCGTTCCCCAGGCTGGCTGGCTGCTTTGCTTTCCTTTTTTCTCTTCCGTGACATCTGCTCGGTGCTTGTCCCTCCTGTGATACTGCACCCCTCGCAGCTGTGCGGACCTCCAGCTCCGCGCGGGTGCACGGGGTGCCCTGAGCAGACGCCTCTTTGATGTGTGATGAAACAGAACCAGGCCACGGGGGTGTGGCGAGCGCAGGCATCAGAATATCAATTAACCTGCTCAGAACAAAGCTGCAGCTGCAGAGTGGGGCAGACATTTCACTGGAGTGCCGGCTAGATGGGTAATGTATTCTAATTAGGGACCGACTGATGCTCCCGCACCCAGCACTCCGGGAAGTCAGACCCCCGACCTCGCGGGCACCTGGCGGGGCCCATCATGGCAGTGGCTGGCTGCTACCTACTGATTTATGACTTCTTGCTTCGCCAGACTTTGCAGCTATGAACTTGCTCTCGGCCCAAGTTGCTGTTTCCCCTTGAACGTACGGTTCATCATGCAGCTGGGCAATCACAGGACCCTGTATGAATGCAGGAGCGCAGGGAGAGTCCTTCTCCGAGGGCTAAGCCTGGGGCTCCCATCCTGAGAATGCCCCAGAACCAGCGCTCCCCGACGCAGGGCCCCTGGTCACTGTGCCCTGCTTTCCAGGTGGCACCTGGGCCGGTGCAGGGACAGAGGGTCGCTGTGCCTGTCTTCCCCAGAGTGCGGGGCTGCATGGTGGGGGGTGGGCTGCCCTCAGGGGTCCCTCAGGGGCCTGTTTCTTAGCACCTCGGATTCTGAAAGAGCAGCCTGGAGAGCTGCTGGCCTGGGATTCGTCAGCCCGCCTTCTCCGTCCTAAGTCTCAGATCTGCGAGCGCAGCCCCGGCAAGGCCGGCTAATTAGGGAGATGTTCCTCATTTTGCTGCACTTTTCCTGTGTAATTGGAAGCCTGCTTCCTCCCGTGAGAAGCCAGTGAGAGCTGTTCCCCTGAATAGTTCTAAAAGCTTTGGACCACATACTGATGTCGGCTGCAGACGTATGGGCGAGATGCTGCTGATCACTCGGCAATGCAATATTAAACGCGAGGCCTCTCCGGTGCCGAGCGAGGACCGAGCTCCAGCCGTCTTTCAGCTTCAAAAAGGGACTCGAAGTGCAGCCGCCAGCCCTTGTCCTGAAGGAAGCAGTCGGTCGGCTCCTGACCCCTCCCCACCAAATAAAGGAAAAAGAGGGGGCCTGAATGTAGCTGAAGTTCAGAACCGGGCAGCTCCCAGGCTGAGCGCGGGCGCCCCCGGACGCACCTCCGGTCCCGTGCCGGTGCGCGAGCCTGTGGATGTTTGCTCCGTAAGACAGCAGCCCGGCGCCTGGCTGCCTTTAACAAGGACTTGAGGGAGCAAAAGGCTGTTAAAAATTTTTATTTTGCACTTTTGCTTCGTTAGTTTAGAAACCAGAGGTTCCGTGGTTACGCGTTTTCCTGCATAATTTAAGGAATTAATGGAAGCCTGGCTGATTTTCCCAACACTCTACTCTGTAAATTTGTTTAGCTTTTCTTTAAAACTATCACTCGACCCTGTTGGAACCTAAATTTTTTTTTTTTTTATCCTCACCCGAGGACATTTTTTCATTTTTTGTTCAGGTAGAGTGGGAGGGAGAGAGAGGAACAGAGAGAGAGAGAGAAACATTGATGTGAAAGGAACACATCGAGTGGCTGCCACCCGCACGACCCACCAGGGCCGGGGACAAACTGCAACCGAGGTACATGCCCTTAGCGGGAACCGAACCCGGGTCTCTCTGGACCGCAGGCCAACGCTCTAACCGCTGAGCCAAACCGGCCAGGGCAGGAACCTAAATATTTTAATGTTGAAGACATGCAGGCGTTTTTGTTTGTTTTTTAAGAAGACATTTCTTGCCCCCGGTTCACACGGTGTTCTGGGAAGCAGGTGTTGTGGATTGTGAGTGACCATGAGCCTGAGCTTACCCATCAGTCCATCCTCTGACTTTAAAGCAACCAAGTTCTCACAGTGACCAAGGGGGAGGGGTCTAAAGGGGGGGTTGGGGGTCCCCTTCTGAGAGCCAATGTCAGAACCCCCACCTAACCCCCCTCACTGCAGAATGGAGACTGAAAGCTGTAGCTTTATTTCACACGTCCAAAGCTCACCTTACCTAATTTGTCTGGATGTCAAGTTGAAAGCTTTAAATTGTGTGTGTGTGTGTGTGTGTGTGTGTGTGTGCGCGCGCACACGTGCGCATGCAACTTGACTTGTGGGACTGGAAAAGACTTTGGAAACTGTTTAGTGTGAACATTGCTTAAGCAAATGGGAAGATAGAGTATTGACCAGATAACGTAAAATCTTCAATTCCTCAAAAATCCATCTGCACATATTACAGAAGCCTAGTAGAATTTCAATTTTGGGATGTGACAAAATGTTTTGCTGCTGACCTGGAAGAGTAATTTTTTTTTTGGAAAAGGACAAGGAGGAATGTGTCCTTTAGTTACCACAGCAAATTATAAAACAGCAGTCATTTCAGTGGGGTTAGGATGACACAAGTGTTACAGGCAGAAAGAGGCCGGAGCCAACGTCACTTCCGCATGCAGGCGGTGACAGAGGTGACATTTGGAGGGGAAGGGGTACACTGGGATGAGATGAGGCTGGGACAGCTGGTCAGCCACAAGAAAACCAGTCAGATCACAGCCTCCCATCATTTTCAAAATAAAGTGTGGCTCCATTCAGTATTTGAACGTAAAGACGAAAACTGTAAGAGAACCCAGGTTAAATGCAAGTGAATAATGATCAGGTTTTGCACATACCCATGCAATGTTAGGATCTAAAGAGGAAAATGATGATTGATTTGGCCAAAACATGTGTTAAAAACACCACCGTACACAAAATCAAAAGGCAAAAGACAAACCGCGGAAAGACACTGGCAATGTTGTTTGCCTCAAAGGGTCTGAGGTAGTGTTTGCCAAAATGGGTTCATGTTTTTAATATGTAAAGAGCTCTTGTAAATAAATAAAAGGATAAAACCCCAAGGGGACAGTGGAGAGATGGCATGAATAGGCATTTTTGGAAAAGGAAAAAATGCAACTAGCCAATAAACATATGGAAGAGAGGTTGAGCCTCATTAATGATCAAAGAAATGTAAATAAAGCCGCAGTGCTGCGCCCTGCCTCGCTGATGGATTTCCCCGGATACTGCCTGCTGTCGACAAAGATTCAGGGAGACGACTGCATTGGATCCTGCATTGCAGGGGTGTGGCAGAATGTATCAGAAGTCACACACGAAGGTATCACTTTTAGGAATGTATCCGGAGGCTGATCTGTGTGCGCCTGCAGAGTGTTTTATATGTTTTTATATGTAACGGTGAAACCCAGAGTGAGCTCCGTGAGCCCCAGTGTGGATTCGCCGACACGTCAGCTCGAGCCGCCGCGTGCCAGGCCGCTGTGAACCCCAGCGGAGGAGCACTCTGTGACATGGGATGTTTTGGCTTTCCAAAAAAAGAAAAAAAGACTACAAATGCAGCTATCATTTTATTTTATTTTGTCTAAAAAATTCCAGTCTTTCTATAAAGCTATTCTATTCCTTTATTAATTCCAAAACATCTAAAAAATAGAACTAGGTGAGCACCTTTTCACACTCTCTGCCTAGGGTTGGATTCTGGATGGCATCCCTGAAACTCGGGAGCAGGCGCTGATGATCCAGACCCTCGGGATCACCCCCAGACACGTCAGTGAGTAGCCCCCGGGGGCCCTCCCACCAGGGCTCAGTCCCTGGCCCCCGAGGGAGCAGCCTGCTCTGTGCCCAGCTCCCCAGTGCCCACCTGTAGCCCAGGCACCATCCAAGGGGAAAAAGGGGGCCAGCACTATCTAATGTTTTAAAGAACTAAATGCATTTGGGGCTCATTCTTTGAAAAGTGAGGTTAGCCCTGGCCAATTTGGCTCAGCAGTTAGAGCATTGATCTGCGGTCCCGAGACACCCGGGTTCGGTTCCCGCTAAGGGCATGTACCTCGGTTGCAGTTTGTCCCCGGCCCTGGTTGGGTCGTGTGGGTGGCAGCCACTCGATGTGTCCCTTTCACGTTGATGTTTCTCTGTCTCTTCCTCTCTCTCCCTCCCACTGTATCTGAACAAAAAAATGGAAAATTGTCCTCTGTTGAGGATAAAAAAAAAAGTGAGGTTTTATTTTGACCCTGGTGATTCCTTGTTCTAGGAATCCCACATCTGAGAAACTCTTTTGAGGAATAATATGAAATGTAGCAAAAGCCTTCTGCACAAAGATGTTCCTCACTGTGTTGTTTATGACAGTGAAAACTGTTAGCAGTAGGCAGGTCAGGGGTGTGCAGTCCTCAGTCCTGAGGTTGTGTCCTTTGTGTTCTGGTGCTGAGAAGACCCCTGGGGCAGGAGACTGTGGTGGTTTTAATGTCATTAGACATCGAGAGATGCGTGAGTCAGGTATCGGTCCATGAGATTCGAATATCTAAGACCTGCTGCCCAGTGGGCCTGGTTTCCTCCTTCCTTTTCTGCCCAGTCCTGCTGAGTGCTCCAGACACTGTCCTGATTGAGAGGAACATGGGGAAGAGAATCGACCCTCAAACTGGAGGTAGGCCCCTCCCCTGCCCCCGCACCCCTCCCCCAGACACAGTGGTGTCCTCAGTCCTCAGCAGTGTGGCCTCTGTCTGGCAGAGATCTATCACACCACCTTTGACTGGCCCCCCGAATCTGAAATCCAGAACCGACTGATCGTGCCCACGGGCATCTCGGAGCCCGAGACGGCGCAGAAGCTGCTGGAGTACCACAGGAACATCATCAGGGTGCTCCCCTCGTACCCCCGAGTCCTGAAGGTCATCAGTGCTGACCAGCCGTGCGTGGACGTCTTCTACCAGGGTGAGCGCAGGCGGGGGTGGGGGGTGGGCGTGGACATCTTCTACCAGGGTGGGCGCAGGCGGGGGTGGGCGTGGACGTCCTCTACCAGGGTGGGCGCAGGCGGGGTGGGCGTGGACGTCCTCCACCAGGGTGGGCGCAGGCGGGGGTGGGCGTGGACGTCCTCCACCAGGGTGGGCGCAGGCGGGGGTGGGCGTGGACGTCCTCTACCAGGGTGGGCGCAGGCGGGGGTGGGGGTGGACGTCCTCCACCAGGGTGGGCGCAGGCGGGGGTGGGCGCGGACGTCCTCTACCAGGGTGGGCGCAGGCGGGGGTGGGCGTGGACGTCCTCTACCAGGGTGGGCGCAGGCGGGGGTGGGCGCAGCGCACTGTGGCCTCCCTCTCCCAGTGTCACTTAATCTGGCGGTGCCCAGCATCCCCGATGTGCCTGGGACCCCAGGAGGCAAGTTACGGATGGCCCAGGTTCCCTGTGGGTGGGGTCCCTGGGTCACCCCCCTCGGAGACCCTGGGCTAGCATCCTGCACGGGTTCTACACTCCAAGCTGTCAGCAAACTTGACAGTGGGGGCGGGGTGAGGAGAGGAGGTGCGGGTGGGAGGGACAAGGCACCAAGGTTGGCCCTCAGGGTGAGGGAGAAGGAAGAGAAATTTTATAAAAACAGAAAATACAGCCGCAAACCCCACCACCACCACCACAAAGACCAAAAACCACAGTGCAACTCAGGTGTGAGTCCATTACAAAACCGGCTGAAGCAGACAGGTGTGTGGGGGAGGGCAGCGAGCCCCGAGACTTTGGAGCCAGGTGACCTGTGTTCAGATCCCACCACACATCCACTGTGCTGTCTTCGGCAACTCTCTCAACCCCTAGAGCCTCGGTGTTGCCATCCGTGAAATGGGAACCCAAACCCGGCCTCCCCGCAGCCCTGGGTAGATGACATGGGTCCTTCGAGTCCTGTCTCCGCACAGAATCGGCTCAGGCGACATCTGTGCGGAAGGCCAGGGGAAGTTGGAACAGTTCTGTCCCAACGCAGCTGAATTCGAATGTTTGAAAGTTTTGCCGTCTTCAGTTGTCTCCAAGGCCCGTTATCCACTTGGGGGTGACAGGTAGACACAATGAAAATACCGCCAGGTAGTTAAGACACGTGGCCGTTTACGGGGGCTTTCTGGGTGTTCTCTCAGACCCCTGCAAGGGGGGCTGTGCTTGGTGCCCTGGTGCCCTCCTCCGGCCCCACCTGTCTGTGGCCATGGGAGCAGCTGGCTTCGCCCAGAGCCCGGGCACGGCGCAGCCTCGCTCGGGGGTCAGTCCCCCGCGCCGGCCCGGACACTGACGCTCCCTTCAGCAGCGCCAGGCTGACGGGTGGCCTGCGACTTCCCAGAGGTTCTGCATCTCGGAAGGGTCTTTAGCAGCAAACACTACACTCAAGATAAACAGCCACAACATTTATCTTTTGCCATGATTCTGGATTTACACATTAATTGCTTCCAAATTATTTAATTAAACGTAAAAGTTCATGTGATCGTTCATAAAGAGCTCATGCCTGGGATTGCAAGTAAAGACGTGAGTGTCTGAGTGTGCTAGTGACTGCGAATTAATAATGCAGAGGAAGGAACGGAGTCGGGATGCAGGGCTCTGCCGTTGTTTTCCTCTCTCCGCAGTGCATCCAGGCAGCCACGTAGTTTAAAGAAGAAGAATTAGCTGCTGAGACTGTCTGGGGGCTCATTACTTCTAATTAACTTAGTTCTTTACTGTAAATTGAGCCTCACTTGTGAGCACTTGCTCTGCCTGTAGTGTCCGTGCGTCTGGGACGCGCTGACTTGGCAGGTCTGAGGACGGGGCCTGCGGGGCCCCGGGCTGTCCCCGCGGTGGAGCTGCCACCTGGCGGTGGGTTTGGGGGTGTGGCCCCAGCCCTGCCAGCTCCCTGTAAGCGGGGACAAGAGGCGCTCGGACTCCTGGGCCTGTGGACGAGCACAGCGATGCTGCTGGCTGCACTTAGCTTGGGGCTCGCTGCCAGTGGTGACGATGACAAGGGTCATCACAGCCTCCAGGGCAGGCGACGAACTCACCTGCGCCTTTCATTCTGAAAACGAGGGCATGTGGTGCCTCTCGATCCTGCCAGAGAAAATCCCTACGAAGACTTGAGAGTCAAAGTCTGCGCAATGGACACATTCCACTGGTTCTCGATTGCGTCCCTCCCCCGCGGGCACTCATCGATGTCTGAGACATCTGTGGTCGCCACAGCCTGGGACGTGCTGCTGGCGCCCGGTGGGTAGAGGCCGGAGACGCTGCTCAAATCCTGTACGGCCCAGGACGGGTGGCATGATGCACAGCAGGAACCGCTGGCCCCAAATGTCAAGAGTGCGAGGCTGGCCAGCCCCACACACCCGTCAGAGGTTTCAGGGAGGCCGGGCTCCCGAAGGCAGCTTGCTGCTCAGCCCTAGTCCAGGGCAGACTCATCTGAAGGGGGACGCTGTCCCAGGGCTACCCATAGCTGACCTCGGGTGCTGGCTAGTCTGGGTTCCTGGCAGGAGCCGGGGCTGGGGGGAGACCATGTTCTGATGTGGGCAGCTGGGGAGTGGGCACGGCCTTGGCCTCAGCCGGAAGGCAGCCTCTCCCGTGAGCTGCCTGGCGATGCCCCCGCCCCGTGCTCCGTGCTCGGGCACGAGGTGCCGGGATTGATGTTCAGTGGCTGTGGCAGCCAGGGTCTTGCCCTGTGTGAGTGTGCAGTGTTGGTGATGCCCGCGTGCCAGTTCTTTGTTCATTGAATGCCCGGGCACAGGGCACGTGGCTGCAGCCACCCTTTCTCAGGACGTGTTTGACGGCTGCCTCTCTGGGGACCCACAGCTCAGTTGGTGTCACTGGAAAGTACCGCAGGTCACTGTCCACCCAGCCCGTCCTCAGAGGCCCACGTGCCGCAGGACACTGTCCACCCAGCCCGTCCTTAGAGGCCCACGTGCCGCAGGACACTGTCCACCCAGCCCGTCCTTAGAGGCCCGTGTGCCGCGGGACACTGTCCACCCAGCCTGGTCCTTGGAGGCTCGTGTGCCGCAGGTCACTGTCCACCCAGCCCGTCCTCAGAGGCCCGCGTGCCGCAGGTCACTGTCCACCCAGCCCGTCCTCAGAGGCTCGTGTGCCGCAGGTCACTGTCCACCCAGCCCGTCCTCAGAGGCCCGCGTGCCGCAGGTCACTGTCCACCCAGCCCGGTCCTCAGAGGCCCGTGTGCCGCAGGTCACTGTCCACCCAGCCCGGTCCTCGGAGGCCCGCGTGCTGGCCCGGCATGGCAGTTATCAAAGCCCGTGTCTGCCACTAGGAGACCCACCTGGTCCGGGTTTCAGGTGAGAGGCTCAGCCGGGACTCAGCTGGGAGGCGTCCCAATCCAACAGTGCACATCCAGCCCCCTTCGCAGAGGGGACCTCGTCCCCTCCGGCCTCCATGCCAGGCCTCAAGCCTAATCCCTTCCCCGCAGCTTCGCCCTGCTCGGCAGGCCAGACGCAGGGAGGCGTCCATGGAGCTGGAGAGGGGAGGGACCGTCCTGCTGAGCAAGGGGCCCGCCAAGGGGCCCGAGCAGCTTCCCTCGCTGGGCCCTGCGCTGATTAACCGTACGCGCTCTCTTCCAGCTCTGACCTATGTCCAGACCAAGCATCGATCCAACGCCCCGTTCACCCCGAGGGTGCTGCTCTGTGGGCCCGTGGGCAGCGGGAAAAGTCTGCAGGCCGCCCTCCTGGCCCAGAAGTACAGCCTCGTCAACGGTGAGCGCCGGCCCCGCCCTGCTTCCAGAGCCTTCCCCTGCGCCTGCCGCCGAAGCCCTCCCGACTCGTGGGGGTGGCAAGTGTCGCTGCTCTTCCTTGCTCTCTGCTCTGAACAGTTTGCAGTGAGTCCATCTTTGCAGGGATAGGTTCCTCCTCCCCAGGAATGAGGCTGTAAGGACGTTAACCAGTGAGAACGTGGCCGCAGCCCAGAGCGCAGGGCCGATCTGAGCCTTCTCTGTCCTTCTCTGCGTACTTTGCCGCAGTGGTTTTCGGTGCTCAGCCCCCAGGCTCCAGGAAGCCGCGCTCCTGCATGACACAGCTCTGCTCCCTGTTCCTTCCCGGCTCCCCTGGTTTGGCTCCCCACCCAGGTCAGCGGTTTGCAGGCACACTTTCTGAAGCAGAGGAACACTTCTCGCTCAGCACAGTTTCAGTACATATTTTGCCAGGAGAGGAAATATTGAAACCAGTTCTCCAGGTCTTTGCCAGTGGTCCCGGGCTGTCCTGGGTGCCACCCTGTCCTCAGGAGGGTAAAGATGGGGGGGGGGGGGCTAGGGCACTGCCCCCAGCACTCCGTCAGCCTGAATGACCTCTGCTTTGTTTACAAAGGGAACATGAGACCTGCACCCCCAAAATATAAACATACATACCCCAATTATACACACACACCAGACCAATGTATATGTACACACACACGCAAATACAGATATACCACCCCAGAAGGGTCAAGTTTTGAATAAAAATGCTTTTCAATTATGCCCCCTACAACTTAAAATCCCAAAGCCACTGAAACTAGCCAGGAATTAGTGACAAAGATCATACCCACAAAATGAAGAGAGAGGACTAAGCTGTTGTTCTGATTAATATGGAGAAATGGGAATCATGTGGTATTTGTGTTTTACTAAAATTTCTCAGCAGTAGTGTTTTATCGATTAGTAAGGAAAAATAGTCTGGACACGTTAGGATTAAAAATGTTTTTGCTGGCATCGATGTTGTTTAAACCATGATGTAAGTAATTTCTTCTCCTTTTGATTTCCTCCTTTGAGAGTATTTTAAGCCCTGGCCAGTTTGGCTCAGCAGTTAGCTCATTGGCCTGCAGACCAGAGAGACCCGGGTTCGGTTCCCGCTAAGGGCATGTACCTCGGTTGCAGTTTGTCCCTGGCCCCGGTTGGGATCGTGCGGGTGGCAGCCACTCGATGTGTCTCTTTCACATTGATGTTTCTCTCTCTCTCTTCCTCCTGCTCTACCTTTTTTTTTTTTTTTAATCCTCACCCGAGGACATTTTTGCATTTATCTTCAGAATGCGATAGAGCAGTGTTCCTCTGCCTCTCTAGTAATACTCATTCTCTTGAAGTCCACTTTGACATTAATGTAGCAGCCACTGTTTGTTATGATCCATGTCTGTATGCTGTATCTTTGAAACGTTTTCTTTTAAATGATCTATGTCTGATTGTCTGATGTTTTAAGTATGTCTAGTAGATAACAGAGTTGTGTCTTGCTTTTAAAAAAAATCCAACCTGATGTTTTTCTGCCATTCTGTGTAGTCTATTACCATTTAAAGTAATTTTTAAAAAATCCTCACTCGAGGGTATTTTTCCATTCATCTTCAGATAGAGTGGGCGGGGGGGGGGAGAAAGAGAAATAAACATCAATGTGAGAGAGACACATCGATTGGCTGCCTCCTGCATGACCCTGACCAGGGCCAGGGACCGAACCACACCTGAGGTACGTGTCCTTGACTGGAATTGAGCCTGTGAGTCTTTGGTCCGCAGGCCAGCGCTCTAACCACTAAGCCATAGCAGCCAGGGCCATTTAAAGTAATTTTAATATAGTGGGTCCAAGTCTGCCATCCTGGTTTTTGTCTTCTGTTTGTACGATCTGTTCTTTGTTCCTCCTTCCCTGCCAGCTTTTGGGTTAAGCAGGTCTTCTCAGTAATCCATTCTATTTCCCCTTCGCTTCTGAGCGTTGTCTCCTTGCTCTGTTCTTAGTGGTTGTTCTCGGGATCAGCATCCTTTCCTTACCACAGTCTGTCTTGGCGTAACATTGTAGCTCTCCGTGTGCCACATGAAACCTAGCAGAGTATCTCCTTCTGCCTGCTCCTGTCCTCTGTGCTCCTGTCCTGCTTGTCACCCCTGCACATGTTGTACACACTACGATACATTGTAACCACCTTCACTTTGTATAATCGATTTTTTTTTTATCCTCACCCGAGGACATTTTTTCATTTTTTGTTCAGATAGAGTGGGAGGGGGAGAGAGAGAGAGAAACATGGACGTGAAAGGGACACATCGAGTGGCTGCCACCCACACGACCCAACTAGGGCCGGGGACAAACTGCAACCGAGGTACATGCCCTTAGCAGGAATCGAACCGGGTCTCTCTGGACCGCAGGCCGATGTTCTAACCACTGAGCCAAACAGGCCAGGGCTAATTGATTTTTAAGAGTCAGGAAATGGGGGAGGGGCTTCTATGTTTACCCCTGTATCAACACTCCAGCCCTTTGTGTAGTAGATCCAGGTTTCCATCTGATACACTTTCTTCAGCCTAAAGAACTTCCTTTAATGTTTCTTGTAGTGAAAGTCGGCTACTGACAAATTCTCTCAGCTTTCATCTGTCTGAAGAATGTCTTGATTTCACCATCATTCCTGACAGGTGTTTTTGCTGCATCTAGAAATCTATAAGGCAGTTTGTTTGTTTTTTCTCACACCACTTTAAAGATGTCATTTCGTCGTCTTGTGGCTTGCATTGCTTCTTATGAGAACTCAGATGATTTTTATTATTGTTTCCCTATATTTTATTTATTTATTTTTTGTTAATCCGCACCCGAGATTATTTTTTGCATTGATTTTTAGAGAAAGTGGAAGGGAGGAAGAGGGGAGGGTGGGGGGAGAGAGAGAGAAAAACATCGGTGTGAGAGAGATACATTGATTGGTTGCCTCCTGCATGTTCCCCAGTTGGGGCCAGAGTTTGAACCTGGAACCCAGGTATGAGCCCTTGACCGAGAATTGAACCCGCAACCCTTTGGTTTGTGGGCTGACGCTCTAACCACTGAGCCAAACTGGCCAGGAGATCATTGTTCCCGCCACTCTGGCTGCTTTTTATATTTACTCTATCTTTAGTTATCAGAAATTTAACTGTGATACATTCAGGTGTGATTTACTTTGTGCTTATTCTTCTTGGGACTCAGAGATTCTTAGATTTGTGGGTTGATATTTTTCATCAAATTTTGAAATTTGCCTTAGCCGGTTTGGCTCAGCAGTTAGAGCATCAGCCCGCGGACCAGAGAGTCTGGGGTTTGGTTCCTGCTAAGGGCATGTACCTCGGTTGCAGTTTGTCCCCGGTCCCAGGTGGGGTCGTGTGGGTGGCAGCCACTCAGTGTGTCTCTCTCACATCGATGTTTCTCTCTCTCTTCCTGCCTCTCTCCCTCCCGCTGTATCTGAAGATAAATGCAAAAATCACTTCGGGTGAGGATAAAAAAAAAAAATTTGAAATTTTTTGCCATATTTCCTCAAATATTTTTATCTGCCCCTCGTTCCTCTTTCTGGGACTCCAGTTGCCTGTGTGTCAGATTGTGGATGTCCTCCTCCACTCCCCTCCCCGCCCTCCCCGCCCTCTGCTTCAGACGGACACTTTCTAGGGCCCGGTTCCCCGTCTGCAGTCACCGGTACAGCCCATTCCCGACGTTCTCTCGTTCTAGGAGGTCCTCTGGTTGTTTCCTCCAGTCTCCATTGCTTTCTGGCGAGATTTCTCCATCTGGCACTCATGTTAACTGTCTTTTCCTTACGGTCTTAAACCTCTTTATAATAGCTGTTCTACAGTCCTCCTGTGCGAATTCTGACCTCGGTGTCATCTCTCGCTCTGGTTGTGGCCTCTTTTCTCTCCTCATAGGGGTCACATTTTCCTGGGCTTGTTGCATCTCAAGTAGCCTTTCATACAGGCTGGACCTGTGCTTCTCGCATTGCTGAGAATCTGGTTCGCGTGGTTTTGCTTTAAGAATATTGAGTTCAGCCCTGGCTGGGGTGGCCCAGTGGTTAGAGTGTTGGCCCTTGTACCGAACAGTTGCAGGTTCAATTCTCGGCCAAAGGCATGTACCTGGGCTGCAGGCTCAGCCCCCAGCTCGGGTCAGGGTGTGTGCGGAGGCAGCCAATTGATGTGTCTCACATTGATGTTTCTCTCTCGCTCGCTCTCCCTCCCTCCTTTCCACTCTCTCTAAAATCCAATAGAAAATTCCTCAGGTGAAGATTAACAATGAAAGAATGTTGAGTTTAAAAGAGTTCAGTTTTATCAAGCAATTAATTTTTTTTTTTAATCCTCACTTGAGGACATTTTTGCATTTATCTTCAGATAGAGCAGCAGGGAGAGAGGGAGGAAGAAACAGAGAAACATTGATGTGAGAGAGACACACTGGGTGGCTGCCACCCACACGACCCCACTGAGGCTGGGGACAAACCACAACCAAGGTACATGCCCTTAGCGGGAACCGAACCCGGGAGACTGGTCTGTGGGCCGACGCTCTAACCACTGAGCCACACCGGCCAGGGCTCAAGCAATTAATTTAGGGCAGGATCCACTTGGCCCAGTCGAGGCGCATTAGTTCTGTTAAGGTGGGACTGGACTGCTTGCTCTGGGCAGTGTGTTTCTGTACCTCAGGTGCGGCCTTCCCAGGGTCCCAGCCACGTGTCGGGGCGTGTGGCTGTCAGAGCCCCCACGCTGCGTGGATCTCCACTCGGTCCACGGCTTCCCAGTAGCTTTTCTCCACCAGGTGTTGTGGGGTCTCATCCTGCATGGGTGCAGCTGTGCACTCACTGACTAGAGACTCAAGTGACCCCCACGCAGGTCCCTGGGCCTCCCCTGCAGAGCCCCCTCCTCTCCATTGCCCTGTCCCACAAACTCCAGCTGTCTCAGCACCCCGAATCCCAGCCTTTGTTTCCCGTGCTCTGGCTGGTCTCCACTCCTGTGCTGTGGGTTGAAAAGGGACCACAGGCCCTGGCGTGCTCCCTGCCGTCCCCCGCGTGGACAGTGCCAGCAGGGGCGCACGTGGGGCCCCTCGCTCCGGCCCCGGCGTGCTCCCTGCCGTCCCCCGCGTGGACAGTGCCCGCAGGGGCGCACGTGGGGCCCCTCGCTCCGGCCCCGGCGTGCTCCCTGCCGTCCCCCGCGTGGACAGTGTCGGCAGGGGCGCACGTGGGGCCCCTCGCTGCGGCCCCGGCGTGCTCCCTGCCGTCCCCCGCGTGGACAGTGTCGGCAGGGGCGCACGTGGGGCCCCTCGCTGCGGCCCAGGCGGCTCCCCTGCCGTCCCCCGCGTGGACAGTGCCGGCAGGGGCGCACGTGGGGCCCCTCGCTGCGGCCCAGGCGGCTCCCCAGCCGTCCCCCGCGTGGACAGTGTCGGCAGGGGCGCACGTGGGGCCCCTCGCTCCGGCCCAGGCGGCTCCCCAGCCGTCCCCCGCGTGGACAGTGCCGGCAGGGGCGCACGTGGGGCCCCTCGCTGCGGCCTAGGCGGCTCCCCAGCCGTCCCCCGCGTGGACAGTGCCGGCAGGGGCCCACGTGGGGCCCCTCGCTGCGGCCCAGGCGGCTCCCCAGCCGGCTGCTGGTCCTGGACCAGCCGAGTTCCGCTCGGCGCCGCCAGCGTGCACAGGCCCTGCCGTGCCTTCCCCACACCATCCGTTCTCAATACGTTCTTTGCCAAATGAATTCTTTTTCATTCCGCATCTTCCGCCTGGGCCTTTCTGTTATTCCCAGTTCCTCTTTGATATTTACCTTCCCTTGGACACACACCCACACTCAGAAAAACCCTTTCATATTTTTTTCAGTGACTTTTCTCCCCGAGCAGCGCTGGGGTTTCTTTTTCCCTCCTTCGTCCTCCTGTTGAAAATTTAATGGTGCCTCTGTTCCTCTCCCCTCCAGTCTGCTGTGGGCAGCTGCTGACAGAGGCCGTGGCCGACGAGTCCAGATACGGCGAGGTCATCCGGCCCTACTTTGAAAAGGAGATGACAGGTAGGCCACACTCCCCGAGGCAGGTCTGGGAGGAGCTGCGCCCTGTGCGGCCCGCTGAGCGCCAGGCTCCAAGGAGGAGCGCGGCCGGGAAGTGGGCGCCGGGCTGTCGCGAGCAGAGGGGCCCTTGCCGCTCCAGGCCCGTCGCCGGGAGGGGCTTGGCGGACCCGCTGGCGTCGCCGGCCTTGGCAAGCTCTCGGTTTCTCAAGCACGTTGCTTTCCGTCGCTGATGACACAGCGGAGCCAGGGGAGGCCGCAGAGCTGCACCCACGCCGTCACGATTCGGGTGCCGAGCACTGTGGGCAGGTAGTCCGATTTCGCCAGCAGTCAGGGCAGAAGGTTCAGGCAGCTGTGCCGATGCCCGATTGACCACCCTGGTCCTCAGAGGGTCTGATGTTACCCGTCTGATGAGGGGGCTGGGTCAGGTCACCGTTCCAGAGCCCTGTCCCTGTCCCCCACGGTCTGAGAGTCTGCTGCCAGTTCCACCCCCCCCAAGGGAACCTGTGAGACCATCCTGTCCAGTTCCTGCACCCACAGATGAGCCACCGAGAGGGGGCCGAGCCGCTGAGGCCACACGGCCCGCTCACGTCTGGGCTCCTCTCGGCCTGTGTCTTCCTCGGGCAGAGAGTCCCCCACCCCGTGTCTCCGCTCCAGCGTGCAGGGCCTCTGGTGGTCGTGCAGTCACCAGAACGTGCTACTGTGAGGAAGGTCACCCCAAGGAGGCCGTGGTCATAACGGGTGATGCGCCTTGACTGGGACGCCCTCTTGGAGGATCCTCAGTGCCCCTCCCACCGTCCTCCGGCCAGAGGGCTGCTGGCTCCCAGCCTCGGCCCAGGGAGCCCCGGGTGCCTCTGGCCCAGCTCTCCAGGGTCCCTCCTTCACGCGCGGTTCCCAGGGCGAAGCTCAAGCGCGCAGGCGGTGGGGTGCGTAGGGAAGTCCGGGGGCGCGTCTCCAGTCCCCAGTCGCCGGGCACGGGCGCAGGAGGCACTGGGTGAGCCAAGGCAGGGCGAGCGTTGGTGCCCGTCTCAGGCCCTGGGTGCCGCAGCCTGTGCCCTTGTCAGAGCCCGGGCTTCTCAGGGTGGGCACGCGCGTCCCCGGGGCGGGACTGTGAGGGCCGATGTGAGCCGTGCGCAGTGCGGGAGGGGTGCTGGCAGCGGGCAGGGACCCCAGGCGGTTTCCTCCTCGGGTTAGCGCCCGTCAGCAGGGTCGGGGTGGTCAGCGCCCTCAGGAACGTTTGCTGGCTGCAGGGTGCCCGTGGTAAGAAGGCAGCAGACGTCCCAGGGCCGCCTGGGGGAGCTGATGCTGCGCCGCAGGCCCCTGGTGCGGAAGGAGAGACGGGCCGCCCGGGAGACGCTGGTGGCGGGTGCGAGCCCGGCGGGGCTGCAGTTCTTGTACTTGCTCCTTGCAACTCTTCTGGGCTTTTGGATTTTTTTCCAGAAGTTACATAAAGTAAATATTTAGGCAGTTTCCAAATGTGCATCCCTTCACTGGTACTGTAACACCTCACCTTGCTGCCTACGAGGCTTGCAGACATCCGTGACCGTCTCTGGTCAACAGACCGGCCGGTCCCGGGGACGCCCATTAGCAGGTGGGACTTGTCGCTCTGTCAGCATGAACGCACTTGTCCTCCACGACTGCCCTGTCCCCCGTGCCTGCCTTGTCCCCCGTGCCTGCCCTGTCCCCCTCGCCCGCCCGGTCCCCCTCGCCCGCCCGGTCCCCCTCGCCCACCCTGTCCCCCGCGCCCGCCCTGTCCCCCCCGACCGCCCTGTTCTCCCCGCCTGCCCTGTCCCCCTCGCCCGCCCTGTCCCCCCCGACCGCCCTGTCCTCCCCGACCGCCCTGTTCTCCCCGCCTGCCCTGTCCCCCTCGCCCGCCCTGTCCCCCCCGACCGCCCTGTCCCCCCCGACCGCCCTGTTCTCCCCGCCTGCCCTGTCCCCCTCGCCCGCCCTGTCCCCCCCGACCGCCCTGTCCCCCTCGCCCGCCCTGTCCCCCTCGCCCGCCCTGTCCCCCCCGACCGCCCTGTCCCCCTCGCCCGCCCTGTCCCCCTCGCCCGCCCTGTCCCCCTCGCCCGCCCTGTCCCCCTCGCCCGCCCTGTCCCCCCCGACCGCCCTGTCCCCCGCGCCTGCCCTGTCCCCCTCGCCCGCCCTGTCCTCCCCGCCCGCCCTGTCCTCCTCGCCCGCCCTGTCCTCCCCTACTGCAGTGTCTTCCCTGACCGCAGTGTCCATTTTCTGTTGCTGCGGAAATGGACTCAGTGCTCTCAAACAGCACAGGTGTGTCCCCTCCCAGTCCTGGAGGTCAAGTCCTAGCAGGGATGTCGGCAGGGCAAGCTTTCCTGAGGTTCTGGGGGGACGTCCTGCCTGTCTCCCTGCTTCCAGAGGCCCCTTATCCCACTCCAGGCAGCAGCGTGGCGTCTTCTCGTCTTTCTCTCTCTGGCTACGCGAACTAAACCCGCATGGTCTTCTCAGGCCGAGAGGCAGAGTTGGTTTTGGATTTTGGTGAGCGAGACTGTGCCCGGACATTCAAGGCTTTGTGCTGTGCTCTCCCTGTGCAGCCGTCGTGTGTCTGATACACTGTGTCTCTAGCCGTCCCACTTCCTGCAGAGGTAAAGACACAGCCACAGGACACATACCTTCTGCAGAAGCCACGCATTCTGTCCGCTCAGGAATCCTGTTCTCGCAGGGGTAACAAAGGATGCGGTCCCATTCCCGACCACCAGCGGTCTCGTTAGCGGCTGCAGATGCCTCTGAGCAGAGGGGGGGCAGGAACCCCCGCCGGGCAGGCCGCGCCCCCAGCCAGAAAGGAAGGCCGTGCAAGTGCTTCTGCTCCCGTCTGGGTGTGGAAACTCTCAGCCACCGCAGCCTGGCTTGCCTCCCAGCTGAGGCCTCTGCTTCTCGATGTCGGGGACCCAGTGTGGGCGTGCCGCGTTTGGGGCTCGGGTGGCCATCAGCCACGTCACCTCCCCACACCCGAGCTCTGAACCCCTTTGGAGACAGGCCGAGTTTGCTGGGGCATCGGAGGGAGGGTGTGGGACAGGAGGGCTCTGTTGGCCTTCCTGACACGCCTTCAAGTCCAGGCCTGGGGACAAGCCAGATGAGATGCAGGGGTGCCCTTCCCCCAGTGCAAGGCCACGCACTGATGGTGGGGAGACTGGCCCCAGGCCTGCCCCAGGGAGAGCCCTGGCCGGGTGGAGGCGGAAGTGGGAAGGGACTCGGCCCGCCCTGGGGGGGGCCAGAGGGCGAGGCCAGTCCGGTGAGTGACTCCTCTCTGGGGAAAGCCAGGCAAAGGGGCAGAGGGAGCTGAGAATCTCTGCTCCCGGTGCTGCCCTGGGATTGGAAGGCCCCTTCGAATGTCAGAGTGTGGGTGTTGCTCTGGCCGTCTCAGACGTCCCTCTCGCACCCTGGGCGTGTTTAGACGCCTGCCTCAGTGCGAGCCCGGTCCTGGGGCGGAGCGTTCCCAGCCCCCTGCATGCCTTCCACGCAGGACACCCAGAAGCGGCAAGGGTCGGGGGCTGGGGAGAAGGGCAGAGGTCCTTGGCGAAGATACAGGGGCCTCGTCACTCTGGGACACAGCCCTGGCCCCTCCAAGTGGGCAACCAGGGCATCCTATGGGTGGCCAACCCGGTGCAGAACACCAGGCATCCTCGCCACCCCCTAAGCCAGGCTGTGTCCTTCCGGGCACTGGACCTCCCGCTCGGGGGACAGAGTGCCCCGTACTGCCGGCTGCCGGCTGACTCGGCAACCTGCTGCCATCTGTCCCTGAGTCCCTGCCACTCAGGCTCTGCCCTCCGCTCACCTTGGAGCGGTAAGCCCCAGAGACGGGCAGCTTTGTCCCTCGGTGCACCGAGGCCACCCCGGGGCCATCGTCACCGGCACTGCAGCTTTGCAGGATAGATCCAGATGTCGCCCTCCCCACGTGGGGCCGCTTCCTCTCATCCCCCACAGGGCCTCACGTTATGTCCCAGCCGTGACCTCTGCAGACTTGGTTATGTTCTCTCGTGTCCTCACAGGGGCTGCCAACACCTCCTCCTCTCGAATCAGCAGCAAAATTAATAACTGTGTTGCTTTCCCACCTTTCCATGTCCACTGGGCAGAGGGCCCCTGGGCCCGTCTTAGCTCGTCCTGAATCCCTCCATCCTGGGCTCCTGGTGACGCACCGTGGACTGAGGCGCAGGGAGATGCTTCTTCGGGGCCCCGGACTTGGAAATATCTGGGTCTGACCTCCTCAACTCATTGACTCGAGCTGCCAGGAACAGAACAGAGTTGTTCCCGGGGGTTCTGCACGCACCTTCTGTGTTCGGCCACCGCCATTACGGTCACCAGAGTCGGGGCTGCGCGCGGAACACAGGGTCAGCTGAGTCCTGCTGCTCAGCTGGGGCTGCTCCAGCCCCTGTCACTGTAACGTGGGCACGAACAAGTAGCAACTGTTTTGAGCCTTGGAAAAGTAACCTCTCGGCTGGTTACACACCATCAGAGGGAGGCCGGGGTGCCTCTCTGTCCTACGGCAGCATGCAAATGTGCTTTTCTCTCCCCAAATCAGGCAAGGGGGCCGCTAGCCCTCATTCTCTGTTTACGACATCGGTGACTCATAGCGGCCACCATCTCCCGGTGATGGGCGTGGCTTCTTCCCTGGGGCCCTTTCCACCACAGGGCCCTGCTGAGCGTGAGGTTTCTCAGTCCCGGAGTCAGAGGTAGCTGAGGAGGGCGGCACTCTGTCTGTCTGTGCCTGCCCGGCTGTCTGGGTCCCCTCATCGGCTTCAGCTCACCCCTGCGAAGTCTGCACCCTTTTCCCGGGAGTTGCAGCCATAAGTTAGGGGGGCCCCATGAGTGTGACTGTCTGTGCGTGGCCGTTGGCAGTAGACACAGCCTGGTCCCAGATTGGGGGCTCTAATTAGTGGTGCAGAGGGTGACCCCTCCCTGGCTCTGCTGAATGTTTTCGCCTGCGATCGTCACTTGGGCTCTCTGTGAGGGGAGGATGTTCAAACGGCCCAAGGCATGTGTCGCCCACG